GTGTGGTCTCTTCTATCACAACAAAGAAGTTAGCAGTTGCTCTCTTGTGACCTTCCTGTTAGCATCCTTGACTCCAATCCAAACCCCTGCATCTCCATGAAATTGCTTCCAGATTACCATTAACTCATCTCTAGCCTCATTTTCCTTTTCCTCTTTTTCTCCTCGATTGTGAGGCCTTACCCACTTGGCTGCTTCATTACAGGTGACCTTCAGCACGGGCTTTGTTTGGAAAGTGATTTAGAACCAAATTACCCATTTATTTCTTTCACCTCCTCCCTCTTACTGAATGCAGCAAGAGCAGCACCGGAGAGGATGTCTGAAATAGCACATTTTGAACACATTATAGAAAAGGAGATAGAACAGAATGCCATCCTCCACCACAGTTCAAAATGAAAGGGCTAAACTGCTCTTGGAGAAATGACAAAACAATTGCACAATTCATTCTAAGGATACAGGTGAGTCTGATTTAGATCAGATGGAAATCTCTCTTAAGGAACTGGGAATTGTGCTAAGAACAGAGACTGCAGGACAACACAGGCACTGCAGGGGGCAAAGCAGAAGAGGGATGGCAAAATAAACCTTGTTGCTCTGGTTAAATCTCACTGGAGCCAGCAAGCAGAATAGGTTTCTCTGACTCACACTAAATCAAAGAACAGTTATATATCTGCTTGGTACAACCTAAGCAACACAGGTTACCATTCAAATCACAAACACAAGGGTTGAGTATGAGCTACAACACAAAGCTGTGAGCTGTCCTATAGGCTCATGGCTAGAGGGGCAGTTCTGTACATGCGTGAAAGAGAAAGGAGAAGATGAAGAAATAACTAGAGCTGGAACAGATCGCCAGAAACAGATCACCAGGAAAAGTCAGAACAAACAAAGGAAATCTAAAAAAAGTCAAAAAGAGAGAAAAGATACTGATAAAAAGCGTGATTATAGAGTCCTCCATGTCCTAAGTGGCACTAAGAGCTACAGAGAGTTAAAAGCAGAGTAAGTGGGGAAGCAGCAGTGGAGTCTCTGATTTTGTGGAGGAAGGATTGTTCAACCATTACAGCATAACATGTAGAGGGTATATAAGCAGCAGACACTTACACAAAAGAATGTTCAAATCAAACACCTGGAAAACTGGACCCACTCATGAGAATCTGATTCTCTTTCTTTTTTTTTGGTGGTGGCATATCCATCAGGCAACATTTTCTGAGCAGAATCACAGGGGTTGGAAGGGACCTCCAGAGCTCATCGAGTCCAACCCCCCTGCCAAAGCAGGTTCCCTACAGCAGGTCGCACAGGTCGGCATCCAGGCAGGTCTTGAACATCTCCAGAGAAGGAGACTCCACCACCTCCCTGGGCAGCCTGTTCCAGTGCTCCGTCACCTCACCTGTTCTTGCACACATTGGTGCAGAGCTTCCTATGCTGCAATCTCGGGCCGTTTCCCCTTGTCCTGTCTCCACACACTGCTGAAAAGAGTCCGTCCTCACCATTCTGCCCCCCACACCTTAGATACTTATAGACCTGGATCAGGTCCCCTCTCAGTCTCCTTTTCTCAAGGCTGAACAGACCCAGTTCGCTCAGCCTTTCTTCATAAGAGAAATGCTCCAGGCCCTTCACCATCTTCGTGGCCCTCCGCTGGACTCTTTCCAAGAGGTCCCTGTCTTTTTCTGTACTGGGGAGCCCAGAACTGGACGCAGTGCTCCAGATGAGGCCTCACCAGGGCAGAGTAGAGGGGGAGGATCACCTCCCTCGACCTGTTGGCCATGCTCTTTTTAATGCACCCCAGGGCACTTACAGAAGAGCATAGCCAAGATGCTAGTGCCCAAGCTGCAGACTTCCTAAATTCTCTTGGACTCCAGTGACATGGACCAGTGAACTTAGGAACAGCTTAGAGCTCTGCCGAACTGAATTCTCAGCCTGAGGACTTAAAGTGATCTCTAAGTCAGACACATGACCTGCTGTATGACAAAGGGAATCTATGTGATTCTTAATCCATGTAGGAAGGGAAGGAATAGACACGCTGAACTACTTTGGAGAATTAAATCAGTAGCAAACTGTTGTGCACGACCATTTCAGCACAGTGACTTACCAGCTGATAAGAATTTAATTTACTAACAGAAAACATAAGAGGAAAGTCAAGACTAAGCAAAGCAGTAACAGAGAAGCCCAGTAATGAGATGCTCACGTAGGAGGCAATTGGCTGATCCACGTGTTAAAAAGCAGCACAAAGCAGCCACAGGAAAACAGCGGGAAGAGATTAAGAGCTGACACTGAAATGCTATTTCCAGCTGACATTTATCTCTGCCTTGGAATTCCCAGTCGGAGGGGAGGTGACAACAAACAGGAGAAATTTACACTGGCCACTTTATGCAAATCTAACCTTTCCGCACCTGCCAGGTGGGAAGCATTTATTTACTCTCTGGCTGTCTGGCTAAATTGGCAGAAGCTCCAAATCTGAACAGAATACAGAGAAGGTCAAAGGAATGTGGCTCATGACTGTAATTTCAGGACCTGATACAGGCAGTAGAGTTTTAATGTGGCAGCTGAGAGATATACACTCTAAGCAAATGAACTGGCAGAAGACAAATGCATGTGCCACTGTATTCTCCTTGGTCACAAGGATTTTCCAGGATGCAAAGATCTGAAAATGAGCAGTAACTGTGAGATGTCCCAGTCTAGGGGTGAATTAGTCACAGTTTTAAATAGAAAGATAACATTTAAATGTACACTATCAAAATAACATGTTTATATTGCAGACAAGCAGATGAAAACATAAATTCCTACCATTCCTGAATAAGACTGTCTCTTTTTTTGGCATGTTAAATATTATCTCTTTGCAATATATAGCCACGTTCAGCTTTTTACATTAGAAAGTCTATTTTTGTCCATGTAAATAAAATGCAGCCATCTCTTGGGTAGGAAAGCAGCACAAGAGCCCTGGTTCCTGGTATAGAAGATCAGAGAAATAGTAAAGACCAATTTGTCTGGCTAAAAGTATAGAGGAAGACTTCAGATAGGCTGCAGGTGCCTTTGCATGACACTGAAACACAGTCATGACACGGGAAATTAAAGCTGATGCCCTAAAAGTAAAACTAGTGGAAGACAGGAATTGACTTCTGAACAAAACAAAGCATCTTGTGTCATCTTGCTCCTCTAGGATCTCCAGGGTTTATAGAAGATGAAATAATGCTAAGTTCACAGTAAATACCACTGAAATCATTGATTCCTCAGCTGATACACCTGTCACTGTGCAACGTTAGGACCAAAGCAAATGGCATCACATTTGAGAGTCTCATGCAGACAAAATAGACACATTTCCAATGCTGTGTCCTGCAGACTTCAGGTTTCTTTCAGCATATCATCAAGCCCAGTTTTGCTTAGCATGCAAGAACTGAAAACAGCCTGAGGTTGTCTGGTTGCAGGGCACGCCAGGGGCATATTTCTGAACTGGGAATGCCCTCATGTTGCCCCTGCCCTACATCTCCATCTGGCTGCTTTTGTGCAAGAAAAGGTTTAAAAAAAAAAAAAAAAAAAAAAAAAGATTTATGAAGCATCAGGAAAGAAAAAGAAAAAAAAAAAAAGGTAAAGAAAGAAAAATCCCATAGGATAAAAAAGATGAGAAATTCAAGGCAGTTTTAAAGCAGTTAGTGAAGGCAGGAGTCCAAGTTGACCTGAAGTCAGAACAGTGAGAAAGTAAATGGACTTTTAAGGACTTCAGCTGAGATTTTCAAAGTCTTTCCGACACCTTGGATGTTCATTTCCACTCATTTCGTTGGACACCCGCCAACAGAATCCTGTGGGCTGCTCTCATTCCGGAGGTCTGAATTCTGACAAAGAGCACCTAGACTACGTTTTATTTTTTACCCCTTTTATATGGATCTGTATAAAGAATCAGGGAAAATAGCAACCATTTCCTTCAACAACAAAGATTCTGAAGGGCCCACAGATACAGGTTACAGAAGAATTACTGCAGGTTAAAGAAGAGTTGCAAACAGACTCCAGAACAGCAGAATGGCTCCTGACATTCACAGCCATCCTGCTCTTTTGCTTTCCCCTGCTTTTTACTATAATGGATGCTTGAATAACAATCACATGGGTTGTTCCCTTTCCTGAAAGAAACAGCAATAGTAGAAACCAGCTTTTTCTTCTTTACAATCCTCATGATCTCCACATTAAGATGACTTGGGGCTTCAGTTCTGTGAGACTATTGACTGCCCAGCAGGTAAAGAAAGCAATAAGTGGAAGCCAGTTGATAGCAGCAGGTAGCTCCAATAAGTTTTGTAATCAATACAAAGTATAGCTGAGACAGCTCCAAACACTAAGGCAAGGAAGCCCAACTTAATGTGTTTATAACCTTTCTCATTTCTTTTTGCTCATTTTTAAATTCCCCACTCCTTTCAGTAGCATTCAAGAACTAATTTCTCCATGGACATAACAAGCTTGTGCTTCATTCACCATTATCGTATGAATGCCTTGTAAATTGATTTACCTGCATGCAAAGGGGAACTGCCCTGGATCTCCAGGACAGAGCTCAGCAGAAAGTAATTTAATTTGGTTGCTGTTTTTATTGGGTCTAAAGCGAGCATAAATGAGTGAAAAGGAAATGAAGAAGATCAGGCACTTCCGGCTTTCTGACAATGGCCAAAGACTGAATCAAGGAAGATGCAAGACCTTTCTAAGTGCTCCTATTGGATCCAGGTCCCGTTTTCTGCTCTCCTGAGGGTGCCAAAGACCCTTCAGACATTCTACCAGTGCTGTTGTTACATGGACACAAACTCAGAGTTCTGAGCTCTGTCACAGTGTTTGTGTTTGAGCTCCAAGGAACATGGGAAGAGGAGCCTCAAGGAGACGTGTGAAGGACAGGTAAGCAAAGGTATATCTAGATGTTATAAAGGCTTTGTAGCATTCTTGCCCAGACAAAACAGAATGCTGTAAGGATCAACAGGCATTTCTTCCCACAGCACAGCACAAAAATTATCATGCAATTACAGAAAGATGTGTTGTGTGCTCCATCTCCTACCTGAAATCCGCTGGGATATCTGCAGGTTCTTTTGCACATCGTTCTCCTCCTTTTCCAGTCAGTCAGTTGCAGAACCTTTCACCTCTACAGCAACTTCTCCTTCCCAGTGCAATTCCTCTGGAAGAAAAATCAGCATCAAATTAATTCTTTGGAGAAAGTGCAAACAGAATTTTTCTGCATCAGAGTATTTTCTTTTTTCTTTATTAACTGGGATGGGAAATGGAGGAGATGCTTTTTAGTTCTTTCAAAACTTTCCATAGGATTTTGTTAAATCTTTTCCAATGCTCTGATAAACAACAACAAAAAAAACCATTTCAACCTGAAAAACGTCAAATATAAAAAGCTAGTAATTATCTTGGATGGCCAGACAAAGAACAGTCATACTAGAGAATCAGGAAAAGTCCACATTTGTCAGTTACCAACAATTTCCAGGAAATTTTTCATTAAAGGCCATTTTGCAACAAGAAATAAATACAAGCTTTTCAAAAAAATGCTAGAAATACTGAGAAAAGGGTCTCGGGTGAATGAGAAAACCTTGATGGGAGGCCAATTTCATGGGAGATATGTAATGGTGCTTCACCAATTCAGCAGCCCCAGATATTCTTCCAAGGTAAAAAATGTCCTCCAGAACTATTTCATAAATGTTACCATCTTCAATATATATATTTTTAATGTATCAGATGGATTAGAGAAAAATAACAGCCAGCTTCAGGCAGTTCCAACTGAGGAATCCAAATCAAGGATGCTAGAAGTCAAGCATTCCATCACCTGTCCACACTGGGAATGTAAGAAGGCAATGTAAATAAAACAGAGTCCCTGCTGCTGCAGGACAGGCAAACAGCTGTGCTGAGATGACCACATCTGAAGCTCTTTCAGGATTCACCTCAGCCATTCTACTCTGAGAGCCATGGACTCCTTAGGCTTCATGATCAGAATCCATGCTTCACGATCAGCATCAGAACAGGACTCCTCCAGCAATCCCCAACCACAGCAGTGCCAGGAAGAGATGCTGCATCAGGAAGGCAATTTCCCTTTCTTTTTAACACATTTTAAATGAATGAATAATTCATCCCAAATGGCTTGAAGCCGAGTCGACTCTCCATGTTACCACCTGATTATATGTTCCATAAAAAGAGATGACAGCAATTTACCTCTCTGCTCTTGTAGGGTGGGCTCACGGGGGGATAAATATGCTGCCACCAAACCAGAGTGATGAATCGTTCCTCAGAGCAACCAGCAATGCTTTTAGTGATTTGGCATTTAGTGCTTCCCAGTGGGAGTGGTAAAGAGAGGGACACCAGCATCAACCATCAGGAAAGGAGGAAAAACTACTGGCAATGTTTTGTTCTCTTTGTTTGTCTCCATTGGATTAATTCACTGCAGAATACCCAGCAAAAGCATCTCGGCAGAGGAGCATTTCTCCTAAAAACAGTGCAGCCTGCAAAGCTCAGGTGCTCACACTGCTGCCTGGTGCTCAGGAAAGCAGCCATTAAATCCAATCCTGTTTCATTATTGATTAAACAGCAGAGTTAGGCTGGAGGACAGGAGCTGCATTACACATTCCCTAAAATGATGCTTCTTTTGCCTGGGCCACTCGTGTAACAAGCCGTGTATCACCCGCCAGCCTTTCAGTTAAAAAAATGAGAGCAAGAGAGATTTGCACTGGGCACTAAAGCACACTTAGAGGCAAGAGGGGAATTGAAGTGGTGCTATTCTTGCTAGAATCAGCCTGCTGCATTCCTTTATCCACACCAACGTAGGACAAACTGAGCTTCTCACAGGAGGGGACCATTAGCTTGGCTGGCACAGGGCTTTCTAAAGCCACCAAGCACAGATTTTGTTGAGGCAGCCTAAGAAAGGAGGGCTTCATTTCTTAACCAACTTAAGCTCCATACCACTGCGGTCTGTTATGGGACACTGTAACACCATGGAAAGTACAGCAACGACAACAGAGTAACAAAATCCTAGGCTACAGCAAACGAGGACTTGCACAGCAGCTATGGACACAGAAAAAAAGGACAGAATCTACTAACCTTCCAAAAGCCTCAAGGTACCCAGGGATCTCCAGCAAAATACCTCTCATACCACTGCCAACCCTTAAATGAGGTCTGGGAAGGGGTGGATCCCGGCTCCAGCCCTTCTGGTCATCCATTGCACACAGCTGAGCTCCCCTGGGCTGGCCCTGCCTTCCCACCAGGTGCTCAATCACAGCTTCAAGCCATGATTTAGCATTTCTGCTACAGACATCCCTTATGTTTATGGGCACACAAAGAGCTACACTAAGCCAAGGCAGCCAAGTTTGGAGACATCAAAGGTGGGGCTGGATGGGGCTCTGAGCACCTGATGGAGCTCCAGGAGCCTCTGTTCAGTGAATGGCAGTTGGACTACATGACCTTTAAGGGTCCTTTCCAAACCTAAAATCAATCTAAGCTCAATCTCCTTTCCCACAAACGCATCCTGGCTATGAGTTTTTTCCCAGTGCTCTGATCCCTCCCACTCAAAACCACACATGGTTCACACTATGCAAGAAGCCCTTTGCAGCCAGAAGCACCCATTGGCACAGAAGCCCATGAGACATTTCCTCGTGCACACACTGTGCCTGCACATCCACACCTCCACTGCCTTCACCTGCACACTTTGTTCTGCTGCCTCTGTCCTCCCCTCTGCTCCCAGACTGCAAGGGGCTGATCCAGCATGTAAATGTGCTACAAAGACACATCCTCTCTGCCTCCCTGCTGGCTATGGGGAACATAAAATAGCAGCAATCTCCACTGTGTTTTATTATTTATGAAGCTTTGGTTATTTCGTGTATAAATAATCCATGACTGCAAAGTGTTGCTGGCGCTGTAATTGAATATTCATGAGGTATTTTTGTTGAGAATTTTTACCATCATTTCAAACCCGGGCACAAAAATAAAAATCATCGTGATAAAAATTTCATCTGTCACTTTGCAGTTTTAATCTCCGAGAAACAAAACCTCTCTCTCTTCCACCCCGAGGATTTTCTGAGGTGGAGGGAACAAAACAGTGGGGTTAATCTGGAAGGCAGGTTCAAGCTGCATTGTAAAGAAGCAGATGCATCCTGCATACAGCTCTGCCTGCTGTCTCTTAGCATTGTCAGGATGCTTCATCTGTGGATGCTTTGCTGTCTGCAAGGAGCAAATGCAGATTTCCCCTTCTCCTTCCTAGAAACATCTCTCTTTTCAGGTTTAATCCCAGTCAGAACCTTGACTGAGGAGCACCCATGTGGGATCACCCAGCAAACAGCATAATGGAAGCATGCTGCTGCCACCCTGTGGAAAATGGAGGCCCCCAACTGCGGGGTGGTGTCACTCCAGAGATTCACAAAGCTACAGCTGGTATGGTGGTTACAGAGGGTGGTGAGGCAGTCATCGTCCTGATGAGACAAATAGTGAACAAACTGGGAAATTTCCTTGAAGCAATTGTGGGATTTGCAAGGAAGGTATCTGCATGCTTTGCAGGTATGATTGATGTGTTTATGGTGTGCCCATGGTGGACAGGGGTCATGTGCACTGAGAGGATGGAAGAGAAACATAGAATCACTAAGGCTGGAAGAGACCTCCAAAATCACCAACTCATCCTCACCGTGCCCACTGACCACATCCCTCAGGGCCACATCTTCATGGTTCTTGAACACCTCCAGGGATGGTGACCCACCACCTCCCTGGGCTGCCTGTTCTAATGCATCACCACTCTCTCAGAGAAGAAATCTCTCCAAATATCCAACCTGATCCTCCCCTGATCCAGCCTGAGGCCATCACCTCTTGTCCTATCGCTGTTACGTGGGAGAACAGGTTCACCCCCACCTCGCCACAACCTCCTTTCTGGAAGTTGTCAGGACTGATGAAGTCTCCCTTGAACCTCCCCTTCTTCAGACTGACCCACCCCAGCTCCAGCTCCCTCAGCTGCTCTCCATAGGACTGTGTTCCAGACTCCTCACAGCTTTCTTGCCCTTCCCTGAACACACCCCAGGGCTTCAATGTCTTTCTTGTAGTGAGGGGCTGGGTACAGCACAGCACAGGTTCTCAAGGACAATTTTGGCAAATTGTTGGACACTTGCAAAGAACAAGCATCTCTTGCATTCCAGAATAGTACAACATGAAGCTTGACCTGCTTGCCTTGCTGAGATTTCCCTTTTCTTCTCCTGTATAACCAAGATGTTGTAATCACAATATAATTGTGTATAATCAATAGATATCAAGATGTTATAATCGCAATATAATCAAGAGAGTAAGGCAAAGCAAACAAGGATCACAAAAAGAGAATAAGTAGAAGAGCTTACCCTTGGGTTGAGCTCACCAGAAGATACCAAAAGAGGAGATCTCCAGAAAAGATCCTTCCCCTCTGGTAGCCAGCTCTTAAATAGGTCCAGGAGCAGCACAGGTGAATTGGCAGCACAGGTGAATTGCCTTCACCTGTGCTCCTCTGGCTGACTCATGGCTCACCTCAGGTGATTAATCAGAGGTTCAGGCCGTGACTCAGCAGTTCCCATACATCTCCCAAGGCTCTGTATTCACTGTGCCCTTCAGCTCCACAATTTCTACCCCAAAAATGGCTAGAGGGGACTAACAAAAAATACAGCCCTATCAAAACTCTTCCCCCCCTTCATCTTCTGGCCTTCCTGGTGAGGAAGCTCTGCAGTCACCTCCATGGTACAAGACCAATGCCCAATTCTCATTTCTCCCCTACACGTTCTTCAGGTCATAGCTCCTTCCTTTTCCAATTCTGTGAAGCACTGTGTATGCAGGGAAAGGAAACAGCAATGGGAGAAACAGAATGTTCCCAGCCTCCTCAACCCCAAAGCGGAGCATATGAGGACCTGGCAGTCAGATCTGAAATCTGAGATTCTGCCACCATCCACACGCATGTGGTATTGCAAGGCTGAGTTCCATCAGCACATCACAGATGGGAACAGAACTCTCAGAGCACTTTACCTTCCAGAGTGATTTATGGGCTCTGTCACTCCAGCAGACTGAACCATGGAGACAGCTGGAGCGTGCAGCAGCACAGAGCAGCAATCCATCACCACCATGTGGGACTCATCCAGGAATCCATCAAGGGCTTCATCATGGTGACATCTCTGCAGAGGCAGAAAGAGAAACAAAGGAAAAAGGAGACAGAGAGAGTGAGCCAAGAATGGAAAATCCACACTGGATTTCTCAAAACTTGAGAGTCAATGAAGTAAAACAAGATTACAGACACCAAAACATGTGTTTGGTGTTCTTAGTGACTCAGGTGGACCTGCTTTAAAGCCACAAATTACAATGCCTCACACAGCTGTGTTGAATGCTCTGGTACTCTGAGACCAGCAAGGATATATGCATGTATGAAATCACAATAATGTAACACATACCTATATAAGGCCCTGTACACAGCTTGGCACATGAAAGGACAGGGGAGCATACAGAATGCAGAGTCCATAAGCACGGTAAGAATGCAGAAAGTAAACTCAACGATGCACAGAGATGCACACTCCCCAGTGCAGTGACATGATCAGTACAAGAGTGTGCATTGTCTTACTTTGATGTACAATAAGAGATATGTCAAGTTATCCAGAAAGGAGCTTCTCTCCATCTCCAAAATCCATAAGAAAACAAGGAAACATGATTTCTCCTAAATCTGTTAGACACTAGAGAGAGAGGTAAAGAAAATATCTGCTCTTGGAGAAAACCAAAGCAATTTACCTTTGAATAGGAAGCAGCAGAACAAAGCACATTATTCCTTTTCACTCCAGAGACGAACACTGATGTTGTTTTGAGTCATGCTGATATAGGTTAAGTAAGTGCTCCCAAAGCTGACAAAAGATAGAAGATGTGTTAGGACCTCTCAGAACACTAAATCAGCTGAAAAACTGACAAAAAAGAAAAATAAAATAAAATGAACAAAAGGATTCAGGAGTTGGGATTAAAGGTAACAAACGTGTTTAGGCATCAGGAGGTGGATAAGGCTCAGGGAGGAGCAGGTGCAAGAGAGATGGGGGTGTGAGTCAGGGAGAGCCTTGGGAGAAAACAGGAAGGCATCAAGTAAGGGAGTGGGAAAGACTTCACAGGAGGCTGAGGTTAGGAAAGCTTGGACTGGGGAAGAGCAAGTACCTGGGATGATGAAGGAGGCATTTCAGATGTTCTGACACAGTTTTTTCCCAATGCTTGTCTCCTCAAGGGTCCTTTACGTGCTTCTAGAAGACCCTCTCTCCCATTTAGACATCCATGGGACAGCATGTATCCAAATGCCCTGAGGAGATAGGAAAGTGTGGAGATAATATGATTTGCAGTGCCACAAGAGCTGCTTTTGCAGCACAAGGTAGGCTGGCTTGTATCTAGCTTACCTCCAGCAGATTCTCTGCTGCTGTCTGACTCACATGGACTATGTGGAGCCATTTGAGTTTATGATCCTTTTATCTTTCTGACCACGGGATCATAAGCTGCTTCCCCCAAGAAGAATAATGAAGCTTCATACATTACACATCCCCCAAAGGACTTAATTCTCCTTAATCTAAGGGGAGGATTTGTCTTCAGTCTCCAGCCCTTTTATTATCCATTTGTTGCTCCATCTGTAGCACAGATCACAAAGGAATCTTTTATTTTTTGAGTCAACTTTTTCTTGGGCCTTATTTGGGCCTTACATAACATCCCGGCCTGCTCACAGCTCATAGAAATACAGTAAGACAGAGACACTGGAGCCTGGATGGCCTTATCCTTGCTCATAGCAGTGCATGGTAAGGACAGGGAGATGTCTGACTCCTAACCAGAAAAAAGAAATTGTGAGTCATGAGAAACACAGCATTGACACTTATGCTTCACTCAGACCCACGCTTGCCCTGAATAGTGACATTCTGACAAATTAAAATGGTTCTGATTTTGTGAGTTATGGCTTTCAAAGCCAGGCTGGATGTGGCTCTGGGCAGCCCTGACCTGGTGGTTGGCGAACCTGGGGGTTGAAATCAAATGATCATTGTGGTCCTGTTCAACTCAGGCCATTCTATGATTCTATGATTCTATTAACACTCTGGTGAACCAAGACTCATCTCTACTATGCAGGGTGCAAAGACATTCAAAAGAGTTTGGTTTTGTACCAGAGAGCACATCTAACATTCTCAGCTTGTTTTTGAAGATATGAAACACATGCAGCCTACTGATGGTGGGTTGTGGATATTGAGTTCTGTTCCCACATCTTTCGCTGATCCACAGCCTGGCTTTTAACATATTTCATGGACTCATTGAATGCTTTGAGTTGGAAGGGACCCTAAACGCTGTCAGGTCCAACCCCTGCACTGAGCAGTGACACCCACAGCTCTATCAGTGCTCAGAGCCCCTCCAGCCTGACCTTGGGTGTCTGCAGAGATGGGGCTAAGTGCCATAACAGTACAACTTCACACATACTGATGGTTCCAAAGGTTAAACAAGACAGTGCTTTCTCTGCCTCCATAACATCTGTGCACTAACCAGAGAGGATACCTGTCCAGGCAGCACGCACTCCTTCATACAGTCACCCTGACTCCTATACCAGCTGTGTGCATATACTTGTATATGAGAATACTGTCGTCCTCTGACGTGCTGGTGCTTTATTTTCTCCCTTTGCTGTTCTCACTGGGCTTGAAACTGGCACTGAACTGAAAGTAATTTCCTTTCATTTTAAATAAATAATAATTTAACAATGCATGTTGCTGAATTTCATTCTTGCATCAAAGGGGAGATGATTGCACTTCCCAGTCCGGAAAGACAGAGAAGGGAGGAAGATATGGCTTTATAATTAAATTTGCTTTTCCTCCTTCCTTTGTGCATCTCATTAAAAAAAAGTAAAAAAAAAAAAAAACAGAGAAAGAAAAGCACACAGAGAACACTGTTTCTCAGCCCCAGGAGAAAGGAAAAACTCTCTTGTTTGTCTTTTGCTGCTACTTCCATGCAACCTCATGGATAACACAGGCGAGGGGATCCTTTCAGGTCTGCAAACAAAACAAAGGACACTGCAATGTGCTTGGACACTGGCTGGCTGTGCTGATATGCAGCTGCTGTCCCAGCCTGCTCAGGTCTAGGGATTACTAACCTTCAGACAGACTCACTGCATCAGAGAACAGCACGAAACACTCTTTCAATCAATGCAAACAAGTACACTGCAACTTTCTCCATAATGACCCTACACTCAGAGTCATCTTCCTCAGTGGAAAAATAAATGATTCAGTATTAAGGAGGCTTTGCCAAGTGGAGTTTATGAGAACAGCAAAAATGCATTCCTTAATAAAAGGGAAGCTATTGAAGCTTATGTACTTAAATATCGCCCAGGTCTCCTTCAGAACAACCTCTGATCTCTGCTTGGTTGATCTCTTTGTCACTGCCTGAGCGCTGCACTGGGGCTTACATTCTCAGCACAGCATCCACACTTGCTTTAATCCCATGGATGGATAGCCCTTGAACTTGGAAGCAGCTCACATTCAGCAGGGACTCTGGTCCAGTAACTTGCTGTAAATCTCTCTGCCTCTGCCCCTTCCCCCTTTGTATACAGCAGGTTCTTCTCTGCACATTTACCATTTAGTATGGCAGAACAGGAGGAAATTACCTTCAGCTTTCCTTGCCATCTGCATCCCAATTGCTCCAGTGGGATTTAGGCTGCATTCCACATGGTTCCATTTGCAGCAGATCTGGGGCAGAGGGAGAACAAGCTGACTGTGGCACGTCTCAGTGGATAAGACCATAGAGCAGTTGGCTTCTGGAGCTGTTCTGTTGTGACTCCTCTAGCTGTGGCTGGGTAGGGCTGCTGAGCATTCCCTTTCATATCACCCCACCTGCCAATCTGCAGCACCAAATATTAGCAACAGACAGCCCCCCTGCAGACAAAATTTAAACCCAGGGAAATAATAAAAAACACAGAAGTGACATTACTGTGCATTATAAAATAATGAAACTGCTTTTTTCAATTTGTTTCTGCCCCAGATAGTGGCAGTGATCAGCACTTTACTAAAGATGCCTCTTCCACATCCTGGCATATGTTATTACTGTTATTAATAGCAAGCCATAGCCGGGGGCAGCACTCTGTGCAGGTACATTTATTTCCTTCACAGCCCTGTCACCCCTTGCTAGTGCTCCAGCTCCCTGCAGCACACCCTGCTACGAGGTAAGGGAGGCACATGGAACATCAGGCACTGCTCTGCCATGCTCCAGCCTCATTCTGTCACTCAGGATGTGCCTGTTGTTGGCTTTATATCACCATAATTGCATTACTCGTGCCTTATACCACTGCAATTTCCTCTTCCTTACTCCTAAATCAAAACTGCCCTTAGAAAGGATAAATACTTGGACACTACCTCCTCTCCTCTGAGTCAGTTCAGAACCTGCTGCTCAGCAATCAGGCAAACTTTCTCCCAGTTTCCTTTCCTGTTTCCAAGTGCTAACTTCTGCCCTCTGAGCAGGACTTGACACCTCTTCTATGAAGAAAGGTTGCTGCAGCTGGGCTTGTTCAGCTTGGAGAAGAGCAAGCTCCAGGAACACCTCATTGTGACCTTTCAGTACTTGGAAGCTTATAAACAAGAGGGGGATTGACTTTTACGTGGTCTGGTAATGATAGGACAAGGGTGAATGGCTTTAAACTAAAAGAGGAGAAATTTAGGTTAGATCTTAGGAAGGTCTTCTTTACTCAGAAGGCAGTGAGGTCTTGGATCTGCTGCCCAGAGAGGTGTGGGTGCCCTATCACCGGCAGTGCTCAAGGCCATCAATGGGGCTCTGGGCAGTCTGAACTGGTGGATTTGCTCCCTTAGGCCTGAAGAGGCTCTGGACAGTCACTAATACACTAACTCCATCAGCAATGCAATCCAGAATTTCTGAGCACTGAAGAAATCAATACAATTGGGCAGCTTAGCTCCTCTGCCCATGGGCCACGTTCATCACCAGCATGTGTAGGGAACAGTGTAGAGCCATTTAATAACACAGCTCATTAGGCTTCTGACAACAGGGGATGATGGAACTAAGGCCTCAAACACTGAGCCTCTTGAGTTTATTTGTACGCGTAGTTTCAGGCTGGGGATGTTACACTACCCAGCACGTAAGGAACACATGTTTGGCACAAGATTCAGAGAAAAATTCCCCAGGGAGATCATGTAGAAATCCCCCAGAGGGAGCAGAATGGAACGCTCAGAAAAATGCTTGGAAAACAGATTAAATGAAGCGAGTCGAGATCACCTGGAGGTGACAGTTTCCTTGGCTTCCTAACAGCAAGGAAGCAGAGCTCTGTTCCATTAGGATAACTCCAGAACCACCACTTCTGGCTGGTATACACTAGGTCAAACCTTCTCTCTTCTTGCCCCAAAATCTAAGCTACTCTGTTCCCTCAAATAATAACATTCATTGAGAAGCAGCTGTAATTCCTACCACAAGCCCGGCTACCTAAGCTATTGTATGCTTTTTGGAAAGACACAGCCCTGATTCAAAGACTTCTAGTAACAGAACCTCCACTAATAATCCTAGGTAAGCTTCTCCAGTACTTACTTACTGTATTGTTTAAATTGTATTTCCAGTCAAAGTCTAGATATCCTTTCAGCTATTCAGCTTCCAGGCACCGGATCTCACTGGCCACTGACTACTAGATTAATGAGCATTCCATTATCAGAAATCTTTACCTTGTACTTGAAGGCAGTGATCAAGCCACCTCTTTAGCTTCCTTGGTATAAACCAGATGCAACTTCTTGGCACTGTCACATTTCACAGAGTTGTATAAGGACAAAAATGTACAAGCTGTGATTCTGCAATGACAGAAAACAGCATTGTCAGAAGTGGAGTCATTATTCAGAGCTGTTCACTGAGTTTATCTGCACTGGACATAAAATTCTGATAAAAAGTCACTGGCTGGAGCTATTCCATTGCAATTGGTCAACTAAGTCAGATAGGTCAGTTCCAACTGAAGGGCACAGAGGTGTGCACATGTTGGTACTGACTCCTCTAAGTGTTGAGCATGCAAGTTCAGATTACTTTCAGAAACTCTGTATCAGCAAAATGCACCTGCTTCAGTATTTGGAGAAAGAAATATCAGGAGCTTTTCCCCTGTTTTTCCTTGACTTTCTCGTGCTTCTGACGAAAGGGGAATTACAATTTTGGCAGAAGATGCACACAGACACAGTGCCCGTATCAGGCTCTGTATTTTCAAAAAAGCTTAGCACCTGGATTATGGAATCATACAGGTTGGAAGGGACCTCAGGAGACCACTGAGTCCAACCTCCTTGGTAAGGCAGGTTCCCCAGAGCAGGTTGCACAGGAAAGAATCCAGGTGTACTTCAATATCTCCACATGAGACCCCGCTACCTCTCTGGGCAGCCTGTCTCAGGGCTCTGTAACTCTGACAGCAAAGAAGTTCTTTTGTATATTTGTACAGAACTTTTCTACTGCAGTTTGTGCCCACTGACCTTTATCCTGTCGCTGCACACATTGAAAAGAGCCTGGCCCCATCCATCCGACTCCTGCATTTTAGATATTCATACACATTGCTCAGATCCCCTCTCAGCCTTCTTCTCCCCACATTGAACAGCCCCAGGGCTCTCAGTTTTTCCTCATACAGGAGATGCTCCAGGCCCCAGTCTCTCTGTAGCCCTGCTGGGCTCTCCCCAGCAGTTCCTTGGGCAGCCCAGCACTGGGCCCAGTGCTCTGGATGTGGCCTCCTCAGTGCAGAGCAGAGGGATGGAGAACCTCCCTTGTTCTGCAGGCCACTGTGCGATGCACATGGGGGTCCCACTGGCCTCTTGGCCACCAGGGCACACTACTGGCGTGTGGTCACCCTGTTGGCCACCAGGACATCCAGGTCCTTCTCCACTTGGGCTCCAATGTTTTACATTCATGCTCCGAAAGCATCATGAGCTCTTCTTTGATCCATATTCTTCCTTCCAGCATCATTTGTGCCCTGGTGAAAGACCATTGGGAGACAGACAACACCTCATGCTTCAGAAGAGCTGAGGCAGCCCCCAGCCATGTCCTTGATGTTGTTACCCACCACTGCAGTGAGGCAGGATAACAGCAGCAGCAGCAGATCCTGGTGACAGGGGATTCCCCTGCCCTGCTGAGGCGATTCCTTACTTCGGTACAGAATGCAATGGATGAATCGCCCGGCTGCTCTTTTGAAAAACAGGCATTATGAGTGAGTTAGGTGAAATCACGCAGTTTAAACATAGTGATGACTTACAAAATGCAGCTTTCTATTCCATTCTCATTCCAGCTCTACAGCTGCTGCCAAAGCTTTTATTATTTACGCTTTCCCCTTGACTTTCTTCAGAAGTGTGGCTGCTTATTTCTCTTCTCCTTCCACCTCATGAGAGCTCCTAAAGCAGCATGACGGGCAAAAGATCTGAACTACATTAAAAAACATAGCAATGCAACTGAACCAGAAGAATGTCACCCCTCAGGCAGCCGCGTTGCTGCTGCAGCTGATCTAGATGTGTGAACCCATCTGCAGCAATCCCACAGGGCAGAGCTGCTGGGCCATGGCACCAGCCTGAAGGCACCTCTGTGCTTGCTGTCATGATTTGGCCTGGCCTTGCTGTGCCCTGGGGAAGGGCTGGGATTGCCCTGTCCCACTCTGAATCAGTGCAACATGTCTTAATTGCTCTGCAGTGTAGAGGAAGCCTGCAGAGCTGATAGAGGCTGTCACAGAACAAGCAGAGATGAACAAGGTTTTGAGGGTGGGAGGGAGGGAGCAGAGAGAACTGTGTTTATGGGGGGAAGGCCACTCTGAGCAGGCACAGGGTGGGCTGTTGACTGGACTTGCTTCTCCAGGCAGTGAGGAGATCTAGGACCTCCAAAAAGCGCACTGCCACAAAGGTGAGGGCCCAGCCCTGGATCAGACCTGAGGCAGTGGGCAGGCATGACCCATGCAGCCTACAGGCACGTGTATCCCTACTTAGAGCTCAGGAAGATCACAGCACATCCAGGCCAACACAGCCCGATGGTGTCCTCCTCTGCGGGCACCTGAACTGCTAAATGCCATGCCAGTGTTTCCCACGAGGTTTCTGCTGTTCTCAGGTCTACTGCAGCTTGTCTCCTTCATCCTGGTCCTGCTGTAGAGGGACATTCTGCACTGCGTCCTGCTTCCAGAGCTGGCATCTGCCTATGGCATTTTTCCACCCAAACCTCTTTTTTTCTGATCCCAGTACGGACTGTGGCCCTTCGTCACAGCACCTCTGGGCCTGCACAGGAAGGATGCATGCCCACCCTGTTAGTGAAAACATGAGTAAAATGCATCCCAGCTCTGAGGTTGTGCATGTCAAGAGTGGGACCCCATCAACAAATGTTTGCTGAATCACCTGAGAGAGGTAGTGGAATTTTGGAGCTTCTGAAAGAAAAGGGAAGCAGACTGATTTTTAACATGGGAAGATAACAATAGGACAAGGGGGAATGGTTTTAAAGTAAAAGAGGGAGAAATTTAGGTCAGATGAGGCACATCCAACCCACAGCCTGGCACAGCCTGCACTGCAGCTGCTCCCTGCCCTGTGCCATCATGGTAGGAGCTCCTCCCCACCAAGTGTCAGAGCTAGATATTGGTGGCATGGCAGGAAAGCCAAAGGCTTGGACACTCATGGGCTAGATACTGGGTGGAAATTCTTTACTCAGAGTGCACTGCTGCCCAGAGAGCTATGCCCCATCCCAGGCTGGACGATATATGATAAATATTAAGGTATACTTAATACATATTACACTTTTTCTCACTTCTCAAGATAAAACCTAGAAGCACTAATTGACTCTTCACTTGGAACTAGTGAGATCAGCATGTCAAAGACCATGGAAAAAGAAGCACACGTTTTAGTTGTAGAAGCACACTTGTCCAGGACAAATCTGTAGAAGTTTTGTAAGATCTGTATGTCCACACTCTGCACGCTAGAAGAACCATTAGATCTGGAGCAGAATATAAAGTGCCTTTCAGCTGCAGATCTGCCAAGGACACAGGACAATGGTAGGCAGGAGTTTGAAAGCCCTCAGCTGCAAAATGGGAAGGGGGGCTGGTTTTAGGCATTAATTTAATCTGTATCTGTGACAGAACTGGGTCAGACTCCTGGGAAGATGTACACACAGCACTGGCCAGGGAGGAGGGCTAGCCCTTGTCTTACCTGCTTACCAGTATTCACACTTCCAGCAGTAAGAGGGCTTTGCTCATGATCCATAATGTACCAAGTCCCTCCAGGTGACACCCATCAGGTTTACGGGTGTTTTTTGCATTGTCTCTGGATTGTATTTGTTCCACAAGGAGCAAAGAGATTTTGGCATTTTAGTCTGGGGAAAGGTTTTGACAGATAAAAGAAAGGTAGTTGTGCATGGAACTCTTTTGGGAAGCTAAGGACTGGGATGGAGGCATGTTTCAGGCTGAATACGCACATATTAGGGCCTGTGGACTGCTAGCAGGGTACTGTGGTGCCAATGAGATAGTTTGTAGAGCAGGAAAGCCCAGCTGGCACCTCCATCCCCAAGGGGATAGCAGGATGGCCCGTGGGACGTACAGTGCTTGAATCATGTGCATCCTTCTCAGATCACTGATGTTTCCCAAAGGAGAGAAGAGGTGGGGGAACACTTTGATCCACACCTCTGCACTGTACGAAGTATGCAGAGTTCCAGCACACTGCAGAAAGGGAAAGGACCAACGTGCCTGGCCTCAACCTGGTTCCACCTCCTTCTCCAAAACCACAGCTCATATAACTGGCTGGCAAGTCTCTCCCTTCTTCCTCTCCTCCTTCTAGCTACCTGCTTGCCAGGAATGGCATAATGGGGTCAGAGAATAAATCAGGTGCTATATCAGAGTATTCTATCCCTGACTGTGTAAAGAGCAGCTTTTGTGACTTCCTGATGTGATTTACCATACAATGACAACCTTTAATGTCCGCCAGTGTTATAATCTACTTTATCTTAATACAATCTTCCCCTGCTGAACTCTCCAGAGTCTTAACAGCTATTTTCAATGGAATTTTTTTTATTATTATGACTTGATACTGTGATTACTGTCGCACTCCCGCTCTTTGTGGAAGGGGAAATTAATAAGTTTTTTCTTAAGCACTTTGAACCAGAGCTGAATACCAATCAGCTCCCAAGCTGGGTCCCTGCACCTGCTGGATTCAATTATGAACCTTTGCTCTGACTTTCCAAGACACAGCCATTTCCAGATCAATGGCATGTCAGCACATCAGGCCCTGTTCCACTTTGCATAGGTCCTCATTGTGGGCAGGACAGGTGACAGGCACTGAGTGGGGGACACGTGGCTTTTCCTCCACTGTCCTATGGCTGTCCCATTCATAAAGATTTCCACTCACATGCTCCCTTATCAGGGCATTTGGATTCATCATGCTTTAGAGAGGAAGGTTAAAGCAGTGCCACTTACAAAGTTTATCCTGCTCCTCTGCCATCCTTGCTCTGTCCCCTCACCTCCCTTCAGAGCTCACTACACCTCCCTTTCTCTCCAGGAACTCACTGCACTGGGCTATACCACACCTCACTTCTCCAAAAGTGACTACACTGCATGCTACCCCCACTGCCTACCCGCACTTGATAAGGGTCAGGCTGCACAATCCTTCCACATTACAGAGCCCTGCCAGTTAAATTCTAACACAGAAGAGCTTCTGTCTCTGTGAACACATAAGCTTCTTCCGTTCAGGATAGAAACCATCTAGCTTAATGTCTGGTCCTGTCTTTTTCTTTCTGCTCCCATTAGAAGAGGAATCAGAACATCCTGTCATTGTTCAGCTTCTATTTTTTTCTTCTTTACCTGGTCTCCACAGGCTAGCAATGACCAACCTAGAATGCAGCATTTGTATAAACAAGCAGTGAAATAAGGCTTACCCACAAAATGCTGCTTCTTCCGTGACAATGTTTGGAGAGAACATTTGGATTGACTCCGAAGTACTTCATGGCTGATGACGGCTGGCTGTCACAATTTGGCAACACAGTGCAATAACTGAAAGGCAGAGACAGTGACATTGTGAGAATGACATGCTTTGCCATTGTTTCCATACCTTGGGTTAGGCTGTTCCCATTTTGCACTTTACCATGTTGCTAGCTATAGTGCAAAATGATCTCCTTCTCCGAGGTAGCATTTCATGCCTTACTCGGACAAGTATAATTGAGCACACAAGGGTGAGGATATGAAGGAGAATACACCTGAGCTGTCATATTTTTCTTTTTTTCTTCTAAACATAGTCCTGAAAGGCAGGAGCTGGGTCAATAAACACAACCCCCTGTCCTAGGCTCTTGGGGACAGTGCTGCAGCATTCATCTGTCTCTTTCCAGTTCTTTCAAGACTATCAAGTGCCACCATCCCCCAAGCAGCTAAGGCAGCAGGCAGGTACAGGCTGAGCAAGCAGCCTGAGCCCAGGCTGCAGATCTAGTGCCAGTATTGACCAGGAAAACTGAAAAAAAGAGAAAGAAAAAAAAAAAAAAAGGAAACAAACTGTCTGTAATTAGTCAACCTGATGGATGTCAGCAGGTTTGTTTGCTTCCTGCAAAGATGCCAATAGTCTAATGGAGCAAACATTGCCATTATGTAATAAAACCATACAGGTAATTAAAAAACTCCTGGCAGGACTACAAACAAGAACATTATCTATTAACTGTTTCAGTGGAGCCAGAGGGAACGGATACTGAAAATTCCTCTTCATTTGGAGGGAAGCAGGTTCAATGGAGACTTGACTGGGACACTTGACTAAGATCTGGGTCAGTAAGGAATCCCACACACTTCAACATCAGCCTCTCTTCTGCTATAAAATACCCCCTTGGCTACTGCAACATTCCTAAAGATGCCAAATAAAATAAAGAGGAACGATGGCATGTCCTGTTTTGAAAATGAGAAAGGGAAATACAGGAGCTGTGCTCTGTCTCATGGGTCACTCCCTGAGTGCACAGATATCTGCTCTCCCACTGTCTACTCCAACACTCTGCCCCATTCCTTTACAAGGAGTGAAGGCTACAGCTGGGCTCTGGGATGCATAAACTCTAAGAAAGAAAGCAGAGGATATAATCTGTGGCAGACTTTGCTGGCTATGTCTGATTTCTCTGACTTGGATTTTTGAGAGAAAGACAGAGGCAGGATAGGATAAACTGTCTAAAACTGTGGATTTAGCACAAGGGTCGGTGAGGATCTCGCACCTTGCCTCCTCCACTGCATGCACTAGTAGTAAACAGCTCACTGAAAAGCAATGATAGAAAATAGAGGAAAAAATGGGAAAGTGAGTAAGCACTAAGATTTCAACAGAGTTCCTCGTTGCAATGATCTGTGGGTGGTTTCAAGCTCCCTTTTTATGGCTAGGGCAAGCAGCTGAAGAGGCAGCTGGAGAATTAAACAAGCACACTGGCAAACTGACAGCTCATTAGGTATGTAAGCTCAGCAGCACGCAGTGCAGGCTGGTGCAGAAGAGGGCACACAGCAGAGACAGTGTTTGTGCAGGGTACCCCAGCAGCAAAACAGTGCAGGCTGCCCAGGTCACAGTTCTTAGGAATTCATGGCTGGAGCAACATCCTTGCCTTCTATAAGGGCTTTTCTCCTAAAGAACTGACTCTCCAGGTGCCTTGCAGAAAGCATACATCAGGCATCTGTGAGCTCGTTACTGACAAGCAGCCTCTACCTCACTAAGCCTATGATTCTGGTCTACAGGCAAGGGCAAGAAGCAGAGAGCAATGCATCTTATTTAAATGCACTCAGCAGCTCAGCAGACCAGCGGCTGGCAATGCAATGGCTTCATACAACCCCTGCTGAAACCTGGAAAATCTAAGTATGGGCTTCAATGAGAGTGGGGTTTAGCTGGAAAAAAAAAAAAAAAAAACAACAACCAAAACAGATTTATAAGAACTCCTTGCCAAATATTGTAAATCACTCCTATTTCCTTCCTTTAGTTTACCTGAGAAATATCACCTTCCTATCAAGGATCACAAGGAAGGAACCATGACCTTACTGTGCATCGATATTGAAGGGCAGCTGCCCTGGACAGCAGCTTAACAGATTTATGGAAGAAAGGCTGAACACCTATGATAAGGGGACACAGCTACATCCTGCTATTCCCACCTACCAGCAGTCAGTTGGGGGGCCTTGGGTGACAGATCCCTGCCTCAATTTCCCCCCATTTGCAGAACACTGAATCTGTGAAAGCTTCTGCAGCACTAAGGATAAACAGACAGTGCTATGGGCATGTGAGTTTATGTCTTTGCCAGACACAGACTCCCAGGCAAAGCACTGACATGAGCAGAGATCACAACAAAATGTGACACTGGATACGTAACAGGAAGAGGCAGAGATACACAAATTAAAGCTGTGTCAACTGGGTGACTCACTAGAATCACAATAGTCTCTAGGGCTTAAGTATGGTTTATTTATAGCTGCTGTGAGCATCGGGTCACTAGATCTCAGAATGCCAGCTGCGAGAGGAAATGTTTTTTTCTCTTATTATTTTACCACTGTGCAATGTTTCCAGCTCACAGGAAGAGCTAATTAAATCAACAATTAAAGCCGTAAAGACTCCTGAATCACTGACAACACTGCACTGTATCTGACCTCTTCTGCCTTGCTTACGAAGCTCAGCAGTGATCTTGCTGATCTAAGAAACATTAACTGTCTGGTACAGGAAAGTCACAGCCAGGCAGACTTGGGAAGTAGAAAGAGACTGGAGAAGCAGCCAGGCTGCCCTGGAGAGATACGGGATGCACGAGGATGCTATGCTACTTTTGCACCAGCTCGGAGCCCATCTTTTTGGAGGCTTTGACACTACAGATAATTGTAATGATTTTTTCAAACTTCACACTGATAAGAACAGCATGGAACTATCCTGAGATAAGCAATGTCTTCCAACACTGCTCCTTCAGGTGTAGGAGACAGGCAGTACCAGTCAGCCTAGGAGCTGGAAAACAGCACTACTGAGCCTGTCCAGCCTGCAGCCCCAAATGAAATAATGCCATTTGTATTCTTTACCACCATGAGCTCTCTCTCTCCAACCACTACAAAAACAGCAGAGCCCTTTACCTCCACACAGGGGGTAATAAATATTTATTGTTTACAAAAGCATCATTAAAGAAAAATTTAAGCCCGTGAAAGAAAAAGTAAGGCAAAATTTGTGTGGGTTTTTTTTTTTGGTGGCAAAGCTGCCTTATTAGTGGATAGAAAAATTCCCAAAGCAGCTTGTGTTCAGAAACATGTGGGAAGAAACATCTCACAGTGACTTTCCTCCAACACAAAAGGATTTGTAACAACAATGCTGACAGGATCCAAAGCTGCAACTCCAGATTTTCAGTTTTGACAATAGAATTATTGCACATTATTCTTTCTAAGTAAATTAAACCCATTAATCATCATAATTAGTAATGCTCTGTGTCAGTGATATGCTAACAGAGCTAGTCATTATACTGCACTGTTAAGAAACTGAAGGATGATACCACAGCCTCTACATGCTGCTGCTGTCACTGGCTGGCTGCGGAGGAGGATGTGAATACCCAAGCCTTAAGGACTCTAACATCAAAGAGATGTGAGGACAGTAAGAGATACCATCTTTCCCTTGCTAGATTTAAAGCCCCCTGGAGCGCTGAGAAATAGCAAAAAAGAACAAGAGGAGAAGTGAACAAATCTATCCTTGGTGTGGTTCTGCTTGAGCTGGTTCAACCACGACAGAAATGATTTTGGCCCAGCAGTTCTCACTCTTGATTTGTACCCTGAAAAGCAAAGGACTGAAGTGTGAAGGCAATTCCAGCCCTTGGCCCCAGGGATGCATGCAGAGCCCATAAGGATGCCAAGCTTTGGCACAACTGCCCTAGTGCTGCTCTCATCAACATTTCATCACTATGGATACTGCACTAATGATGTGGCTATCCAACCTTACATATCTACACACCAGTTAATGACTGACAGATTTATTTATCATGATGCAATTGCTTTATACCAACCTGCAACAAGTAATACTCAGATGCAAGACTCCCACTGAGCCTTCCCAACCCATACATGAAATATATTTCAATCTGATTGTTGTCCGTTTTTAGGTGTTTGAATTTAGTTATATGCACAGACTGCTGGTGTCAGAGGGCAGCCTGTGCAGCACAACCATAAAAAAACCTTGATGATTCCTACCCCAAAGAGCTTACTAACCAAGTAAATCACATCAAACACAACAAATAAACTTCTTCAACAAGTCTTGAGTTCCTTCTTTTGCAAAATATATCTGGAGAGAGAAGATTTTTGTACCTAACAGATCTGTTATCTGAAATCACTTACCAAAACGTTTCATTAATTTCATTTTCTATACCCCTCACTAGTCAGACTAAGTTGCTTAGTTACAACTGTCACTTTGCATTATTTCTGCTCCATTTGCCTGATTTGACAAACAATGAGTTCCTTGATTGATTCTAATGCTGATGCTGACTTAAACTGAATTTAAAATTTCCTTCCTGTCTGCCTTGTAAGATTGGGTAGTATGAACGTTATGGAGAGTGGACACAGAGGAATCTCATACAGAGACAACACACTCACACACACTGTGCTTGCTAAGATGCCATAGTCCAGCAGTGATTGCCTTTATCAGTCACACCTTCCCAACATGCTCCTGGGACAGGTGCCCAAATCTGGAATACGGCAGGTCCTCACATGTGCATCACTAAATCACAGCTAAAATCTTCAGCCCAAAGAAACAGCTTTGAGCTCCATGCCCAGGGAGGTGCTGGGGTTCAAGAACTGTGGAGATGTGGCACTGAGGGATGTGGTCAGTGAGCATGGTGGGGGACAGGCTGGGGTTGGACTTGATATTAGTGGTCTTTTCCAACCTTAATGACTCTATGATTGTACCGTCCCATTCATTACCATCCCCCTTTCTTTAACATATGCTCTGCTCCATTCTCTTCACATTACCTCTTTCCCCCACATATTACTTTGCCACTTCTCCCACACCATCTTCTAAAACCACATTTACTGCTCAAGTTTTTCTTATA